CCTCTGGTGCAGGGGCAAGAAAACAGTACGCAGGCTCATCCTCCTCATCCGGGTCATAGCCATGAGGTAGAATCAGCAATGCCTCTTCGGTCCCTAGCTGCTGCTCTGCTGCATCAGTTCCTGCAGTCAGCTTCTTAGTAGCCATACGGGTACGTCCTGGCCTGGAGACGGGTGTCTCCCATCCCTTCATAACGACACCCTTCGGCTTCTTAGTTTTTCCCTGCTGCTTCTCTCCTCCCTCGGATCCAGCAGCTTCACTAGTGCTGCCGCCAGTTTCCACACCATTTTCTCCACCAGCAGATGCCTCCTGTATCTTCTCTCCATCACCATTTCCAGCAGCTGCCTCCTCTCCCTCCTCCCACACACTAGGAGTCAAGTCCAGCTGCATGGTGATCTGCTCCATCTGCTGGGACACCCTTGCCTCCGGCTGTTTCTCCCAGCTCCCATACATCATGCCCTCAATGAATTTCACATCCCTGCTGTCAAACAACACACCCTTGGATGGTTCCCACAGCAGCCATCCCTTGCTCTCAGCAGCCAGCCCCAAATGCACACACCAGATTGCACTCGCCCCCAACTTACTGCGGTAGGTCTTGGGGACGTGGGCGACTGCCATGCAACCGAACACCCTCAGCATGTCCACCGGCGGCTTCCTCCCAAGCCACCTCTCCAATGGCACCCACGAGTCATCCCCAACCTTGGTGAGCACCCTGTTCCTAGCGACAGTGGCGTGCCGGACAGCATGAGGCCACATAGAATTGCTCAGCCCAGATTCTATGAGCAGCGCCCTAGCTGTCTCCAGAATGGTCCGGTTTGCCCGTTCTGCTACACCATTGGACTGTGGGGTATAAGCCGTGGTCAGCTCTCTCTGGATGCCCTGCTTCTTGAGCCAGGCCGTCATTTCAGCTCCAAGGAACTCACCACCCCGGTCTGTCCTAATCCGCTTCACTACACACTCCGCCTGCTTCTCCACGAATGGCAGCCAATCGTCCCGTATCGTGGAGGCGGCGTGGTCCTTCTGCTTCAGCGGATACGCCCACATCAGCCTGCTCCAGTCATCCACAATTGTAAGAAAATACCGCTCCCCCTTGTGCCCTTGCACCGGCAGCGGCCCCACCAAGTCCATGTGGACCAGCTCCAAAGGCTTCTTGCTCCTGCCAGCCACACTATGGAAAGGGAAACGGGTGAACTTTGAAAGCAAACAGATTTCACAGTTGTCATCGGGTGGCTGTCCGTTCAGCTTCAGACCCTTAACGGCTCCATCCTTCTCCAGCTGCTTCAGCAAAGGCATTGCCACATGCCCTAAGCGCCGGTGTGCCGTTGCCCAATCTGTCTCCCCAGATCTGGCCGACACTTTCACACCAACCCCTCCAACGGCATTGCACTCCCCCTGGGATGCAGACCCCTCTCCAGCCTGCCCCCCACCATGCCACGCCAGGGCCGGCAGCTGCCACATAGATCTGTACACGTCCTTGCTCTCGTGCAGATCCCAAAGCACCCGATTGCCCAGCTTCCCCTTATAAGTGCGTGCCCCATCCGTGTTGGTGTTCACCCCAGCCTTGCCAAGCTTACGGAGGGAGATAAGGTTGGCCTTCAGGTCGGGGACGAAGAGAACGTCGTGCAGCACCACCGGCTTGCCATCCGCTCCCTTAAACGCAGCTCGTCCCGCACCAGCCACCTTCAACATGTGTCCAGAGGCGGAGCACACTTCATTGATCGGTGCAGCTCGTACTTCGTCCAGCAGGTCCTTGCGCGGCGTCATCGTCCAAGCAGCGCCTGTGTCCAACACCCAATAGTCTAGGGGGTGCAGCTCTGCTCCAACTTTGGCAGAGGCGTCTCCTTGCTCCCCCTTGTCTCCCACATGGAAGAATTGGCCCGCGGTGCGCTCCTTCTTCTTCTCCGCACCGCCGTTGCCCTTCGGGTTGTTGTCGGACGAATCAGCGACCATGTTGGCGCCGTTTTTCTGGTTCCTCCGCGCGCCGCCATCCTGGTGACGATTCTGGGGGGTCCATCCATCGGGTTTCTTATAGCACAAAAACCAGGGGTGCCCTTCCTTCTCACAATACCAGCAACTCCCTTTCATTTTGCCACCAGCACCCGACTTGCCCCCACGTCCAGATTTCGCACCGCGACCCCAACCGGTACCTCCTTGTTGGTCGTTGGAGTCATCGTCTTTCTTTGCACCGCGTCCAGCACCACCGAAGCCACGTCCTCTGCCACGTCGGCTCCCTTGCATCCCGTAGCCGCTGCTGCCGTCGTCTCCACCCCTCAGTTGGCGGCGACGAAAGTCCTCCTCCAGAATCTTTGTCCGCACCCACTCGAGCGTCCACAAGCTCTGGTTCTGCGGCAGGCTCAATCCGCTAGTAAATTGAAGCCACGATTCTGGCAGCAGCGAGAGCATCTTCAAGCACTTGGTCTGCTCCGGGTAGGTGATTCCCGCGGTCGCCAACTTCGCGTAGAGGTCGCGCATCTTGTCCAGGACTGGTTGCACCGGCTCTCCCTCGCTCAGGCGCAACGCGGACAGCTCCCTCTCCAGCATCAACGTTGCGACAACGGAGGTCGGGGCGTGCAGCTCCTTCAACACGGTCCACGCCTTCGGACCGCATTCAACCTCCGGCAGCAGGTGCATGACGTGGTGACGCTGGTTCAGCTCCAAACTCTGCGACATCAAATAGTAGCCAGCCGAGGAGCGCTCGTCCCAATCTTCCTGCAGCGTGGGGTCACTCGGTCTAGGCTCCTCCCCAATCATTAGTTTCAGCAAACCGATCTGACGGAAATATAATTGCATTTTCCAGGCCCAATCATCATAGCCCTCACCATTGAACTTCTCGACGGTGAAATTCTTCAGCACCTCCTTGACAAGCGAGCCCTGGTTTGTTCGCGCTCCCCTTGGCGCTGAAAGACCAGAATCTTGGCTGCCGCTACGATCTTGGGCTGAAGATTCACCAGCTCCCGCCGAGGTGTTGCCCGCCATAGCTACCTATAACGAGGATCACTATAACGCAGCTCTGATACCAGCTTGTTGGTGTAAGGGCCTAATAAACTCAAGCTATTAGGACTTAATAAAACTTAAAACCTCTCCTCGGGGTCACCTCCAAGGGTCCCTGGGTGCCTGGTACAAGACCAGCCCCTATCCTCGGGTCCGAGTTTGTAGAGAGAGGGATCAAGAAGGACTTAGTCAAAACAGCAAGAGTACCTTGAACGTCGCGCAGCGTGCCGTGCAGACCGTCGGTCGGATTAAGCTGAGAATTCGCTATATCGAAGCTCGCTCCAAGAGCTTTAAAATGAGCCAAGTTGCCTCGCGAAAAGTTCTGCCATTACTAAGTTATGGCTCGGACAGCGTTTGCCTAGCGTTGGAGTGCTAGCATACTAGCGTTGACTCGGGTAGCATTCCGCCGTCGAATAGTGCAGAAACGAAATTCCAGCGAGGAAGGAATTCGCTTGAATCAATTTGACTATATTCAGGTACAAACAGAGAAGGATTAAATAGTTCTAGCTAGCAAGGACCTTGGGAATCAACCTGGGAACAACCAGGGATGATCCCAAATAATTCCAAGCAACAGAACCAACCTGGCTGGACAAAATAGCAGGTGGTAGGTTGGTAAACAACCTCTGGTTCTGTTTTTCCAACCTGGGAAAACAACAACCAGGTTCAGGTTCTAAAAACAGAACCTGTTTTGTCTTTGCCCAACCAGCCAAATGCTGGTTCCGCTGGTTTCCCCTGGCCTTGTAGCATGCAGATACAGACAAACAACATCCAACCTTCACCTAAATTGTACTCCTATAGTGCCTTCCCTGCTACACTATAGTTAACCAAACAAAACAGTACAATTTCGAGTTGGATAGAACTGAATCTGCGCAATCAACTCAACCGAACTGCAAAGCTTCCATCTTGGGTTCCTTTGCGAGCTCGTCCTTCCTGCTTGCACTGTTCATAGCGCATACAATGTTGTGCCAAAGCGCACATTGCGCGAGTACCTGCAAATGCATCAAGCGAAAAATGCGAAAGCAAACAAACACACGAACACACCATTCACACGCAAATGCATTCGCACACGCATACTCATACAAACAGACGGCAGGATGTCGTGCAATGTGCATTTGCACCCAACAGTTTTACCTGCACGTATGTTATTCGCACAGGCGACCGCACTGGCCAGACGTGTGGGAGACCGCACCAGACGCAGCGCTGCTTCGCGCGCCTCAACGACGCGTGGCGCACCCAGTTTCCTGACGCCACTGAGCTGCCGCGCTGGGCTGATCTGGAAAAGAAGGGTGTTGATATCTGGGCTCTAGACTTTGATGCTATTCTCACTGCCATGTATGCAATGTCTATTAGTGGAGAGGGTGCTCAGTACTTGCGTGTTCCGCCCGACCCGGGCATTCAGGCCAGCCCAGCTGCTGCTCTAGGTGCTAGTGTGTCTGCTCCCACAGGTCCTGCTGCAGCAGCTGCCCTAGGTGCTAGTGCGTCTGTGCCCCCTGGTACTGAGTCGACTGCTGCACTGCACACCTTTACACTGGACTCAGGTGCTTCTCGCTCTTTCTTTCGTGACCGCACTGTCCTTGAGCCACTAGCTCGGCCGGTTGCTGTCTCTCTTGCTGACCCCTCTGGGGGTCCGGTCGTTGCGACCTCCTCCACTACACTTCCGTGTCCAGCGGTTCCGTCCGGCACGCTCTCAGGTCTCTACCTCCCCTCGTTCTCTACGAACTTGGTGGCGGGCTGTGCTCTGCAGGACGGGGGTGTTCACCAGTTCACCCCTGCCTACGAGCGTGTGACACATTGCACGTGTGCTCGGACGGGCCGCCACCTGGCTACTTTCACTCGGGAGCCGGGGTCGGACCTGTACACACTGACCACTGCGTCCCCTCAGGTAGCTGCGTCTGCGTCTGCGTCTGCGTCAGGTCAGCTGTCCGCCCCCTGCTCATGTCGCTCTCTGGCGCATGAGACTGTCCTCTGGCACCACCGCCTTGGTCACCCGTCTGTGCAGCGCCTTCGGGCCATGCACAAACGTGACCTTGTTGCTGGTCTTCCCAGGGTGCTCCCTCCCCTTCCCGACTCCCCTGCTCCTGACTGCATTCCCTGTGTCGAGGGGCGGCAGCGCGCCGCTCCTCACTCCTCCTCCTTTCCCCCGACGACTGCTCCCTTGCAGACGCTCCACATGGACGTGTGGGGCCCAGCCCGCGTCCGTGGTCAGGGTCAGGAGAGGTACTTCCTGATAGTTGTTGACGACTACTCGCGCTACACCACGGTCTTCCCCTTGCGCGCCAAGGGTGACGTCCCTGGTGTTTTGATCCCCTGGATCAGCCGAGCCCGTCTCCAGCTAGGCAAGCGCTTTCACTCGGACTTTCCTGTCCTGCGCTTGCACTCTGACAGAGGTGGTGAGTTCGCCTCCGACCTCTTGGCAGCCTACTGTGCTGAGCACGGCATTGAGCAGTCGTTCACGCTTCCGGCCTCTCCACAGCAGAATGGGGTCGCTGAGCGCCGCATTGGCTTGGTCATGGAGGTCGCTCGTACCTCCCTGACCCATGCGGCTGCTCCCCACTTTCTGTGGCCGTTTGCGGTCCGGTACGCAGCGCATCAGCTCAACCTCTGGCCCCGTGTCTCCTTGCCGGAGACTTCCCCGACTCTACGGTGGACGGGAGAGGTTGGCGATGCGTCGCGTTTCCGGGTCTGGGGATCTCGAGCTTTTGTCCGCGACACGTCCGCGGACAAGCTCTCGCGTCGCGCTGTTCCCTGTGTCTTTCTTGGCTTTGTTCCCGACGCGCCTGGATGGCAGTTTTACCACGTCACCTCGCGCCGGGTTCTGGCCTCTCAGGACGTCACTTTTGACGAGTCCGTCCCCTTCTACCGCCTCTTCCCCTACCGCACTGCCCCGCTCCCCCCCCGCCTCTCTTCCTCGCTCCAGGTGCTGAGGTACCAGACCCCCTCCCCCCTCAGGGTGCCGCTCCCTCAGGTGTGTCCCAGGTAGACCCAGGTGAGCCTGTCGAGGTAGCTGTCGACTCTCGTCCTGCGTCTGGGGGTGCTGAGCCTGGGAGTGCTGCGTCTGAGGGTGCGGAGCCTGGGGGTGCTGAGCCTGGAGGTGCGGAGCCTGGGGGTGCTGAGCCTGGAGGTGCGGAGCCTGGAGGTGCGGAGCCTGGAGGTACTGAGCCTGGGGGTGCTGAGTCTGGGGGTGCTGAGTCTGGGGGTGCTGAGTCTGGGGGTGCTGAGCCTGAGCGTGCTCCACCTGGAGGAGCCCCCTCCTCCCAGCAGCTGCAGGAGAGGTACCTCGAGTACTGCCGCCTCCGGAGAGGTGCTTCTGGAGCTCGTCCCGGTACTTCCCCTCCTACCCAGGAGCTCCCCCCCATTCAGGTGATCCGCGAGTGGTACACGCGGCGCTGCAGTCTTCGTAGTGGTGCTCCTGGTGCTGCGGACCCGAGCGGTGGTGCTGTTGCTGGTGCTGAGGACCCGGACGCTGGAGCTGCTGCTGGTGCTGAGGACCCAGGCGTTGGAGCTGCTGCTGGTGCTGAGGACCCGACCGGTGGCGCTGCTGCTGGTGCTGAGGACCTGACCGGTGGCCCTGCGCCTGGTGCTGAGGACCCGGGCGTTGGAGCTGCTGCTGGTGCTGAGGACCCGACCGGTGGCGCTGCTGCTGGTGCTGAGGACCCAGGCGTTGGAGCTGCTGCTGGTGCTGAGGACTCGGGCGTTGGGGCTGCCACTGGTGTCCCTGCTGCTTCTGGAGACGCTGCGCGGCCGCGACCGTACTTCGTACCGCTCCTTCAGCAGGTTCTTGGTCAGGCTCCTCCTCCTAGTCCTCCTCCCTCAGTCGAGTGTCCTCTGCCTGTCCAGCCGCAGTCACAGTTACCGCCTGCCTCGCCTCTCCCTGCTCCCTCTCCTTACGCTGGTCCCACAGGAGGTCTTACAGAGCGTCGTGAGCCTGAGTCTCGTCCTGCGTCGCCTGTTCGTACTGCTCGCACTGGTCGTCGTGTCCCACGTGAGCGTCCTCCTCCTGTCCCTGGCACTCACTACATGACTCTGCGTCCCTCCACTGCTCCGCAGCGTGTCCCGCTGCCGTCTCCTCCTGCGTCCTCTCTTCCTACTCTTCCTGACCCGGAGTCTGACTCCCGTCGTGCTGCCAGTCCCACTGTTACGCGTCTCCTCGCTACAGTTGTCACTGACCCGACCTTTGAGTCCTCTGCTGCGTCTGCTCTGGTCGCTGAGTTGGTTGACTTTGCTGCTCGCTGTCGCCTAGACTACGCTGCCAGCCTTGTCGCTGAGTCTGAGTCTGCGTCTGCCTGTCCTCCGTCCGTCGGGGGTGAGTGTGCTCTCGGCACGGACGTCCTTGAGGACAGACAGGAGGAGTTCCACTGCCTTGCTGCTGCTTTGCCCCGTCTCGTGTCCTTGCTAGTTGCCCCTGAGGGAGACCCGGATGCACCAGACATCCCGACCCCACGCTCTTACGCTGAGGCGATGGCGGGTCCCTACTCCTCTCAGTGGCAGTCAGCCATGGACGCAGAGATGGCTTCCTGGAAGTCCACAGGCACCTACGTAGACGAGGTTCCCCCTCCTGGGGCGAACATCGTCAGTGGCATGTGGATTTTCAGGGTGAAGCGGCCGCCGGGTTCTCCGCCTGTCTTCAAGGCGCGCTACGTGGCTCGAGGCTTCAGTCAGCGAGAGGGAGTTGACTTCTTTCAGACCTTCTCCCCCACCCCGAAGATGACTACTCTTCGGGTGCTACTGCACATAGCCGCTCACCGCGACTACGAGCTTCACTCTCTTGACTTCAGCACTGCTTTCTTGCAGGGCAGCCTGCACGAGGAGATCTGGCTGCGCCGCCCCCCTGGCTTCACTGGGTCAGTTCCTCCTGGCACCCAGTGGAGGCTTCAGCGGCCGGTCTACGGTCTCCGCCAGGCGCCACGTGAGTGGCACGACACACTGAGGACGACACTTGCGGCTCTTGGGTTCGCTCCCTCTACTGCTGACCCGTCGCTGTTTCTACGCACCGACACCTCGCTGCCGCCGTTCTACATCCTCGTGTACGTCGACGACTTGGTCTTTGCCACTGCTGACACCGCGGCACTCGCCCACGTGAAGTCGGAGCTGCAGAGGAGACACACGTGCACAGACCTGGGTGAGCTGACGAGCTATCTTGGCTTGCGGATCACCCGGGACAGAGCACGGCGCACCATCACCCTGACTCAGTCACACATGGTGCAGCAGGTTCTCCAGCGCTTCCGCTTCACGTACTCCTCGCCTCAGTCCACTCCTCTGCCTACCGGTCACTCGCTCTCAGCTCTGCCTTCGGATGAGTCCGTAGAGCCGAGTGGCCCGTATCCAGAGCTTGTGGGCTGCCTCATGTACCTGATGACCTGCACTCGACCTGACCTTGCATACCCTCTTAGCATCCTAGCACGCTATGTCGCTCCTGGCCGTCACCGGAAGGAGCACATGGATGCTGCTAAGAGGGTGTTGCGCTACTTGTGCAGTACGTCGGGCATGGGGCTTGTGCTTGGAGGGCGAGACCGGGTTGTTCTCACAGGGCACTCAGACGCTTCTTGGGCAGACGACCAGGCTACTCAGCGGTCGTCCCAGGGTTACACCTTCAGCCTTGGCTCTGGCTCAGTCTCTTGGCGTTCTACTCGCTCTTCTTCTGTTCTCAGCTCCAGTTGTGAGGCTGAGATCTACGCCACAGCCATGGCTGCTCAGGAGCTACGCTGGCTGACCTACCTGCTGACCGACCTCGGAGAGCGGCCTCGTTCTCCTCCAGTGCTGTACGTCGACAACAAGGCTGCCATTGCCTTGTGTGAGGAGCACAGACTGGAGCACAGAACGAAGCACATCGCTCTGCGGTACTTCCTTGCTCGAGAGCTTTGTCTGCGTTACGTGGCCACGGAGGCCAACACTGCTGATGTGTTCACCAAGGCGCTTCAGCCTTGTGACCATCAGCGCTTTTGCACTCTGCTAGGCCTTGTACCTACTGGGCCTCACTTGCTTACCTCTTGACCTTGCTTGTACTGTGATCACTATATATATATGCCTACTTGTTTACTTTTGCTAGGTTGTGATCACTGTATCTCTTGTTTTGTTATAAACCTGCATGTGAACTGGTCTTGTGACCGCTTGCTTGTGCTCGGAATTTGTGTGGAATCCTTGAGATCCACCCTGAGCTTGCTTTGCTTTGCTTTGACTGGTCTTGTGACCCTGTGGTTGTCTCCCACTGCGCCTATGGGGGTGTGTCAAACATTGTATGTTTATATTGTGTAGGCTGTAGTGGGTTACACCTTAGGGGGTACACAAACTTAGGGTTTCCTACTTGTACCAAACTCTGTGCTAGTTCATTCCATTCCTGCTCAGTTATTCTGACACATTGAGCAGTCGTTCATGCTTCCGGCCTCTCCACAGCAGAATGGGGTTGCTGAGCGCCGCATTGGCTTGGTCATGGAGGTCGCTCGTACCTCCCTGATCCATGCGGCTGCTCCCCACTTTCTGTGGCCGTTTGCGGTCCGATACGCTGCGCATCAGCTCAACCTCTGGCCCCGTGTCTCCTTGCCGGAGACTTCCCCGACACTGCGTTGGACGGGAGAGGTTGGCGATGCGTCGCGTTTTCGGGTCTGGGGATCCCGAGCTTTTGTTCGCGATACGTCCGCGGACAAGCTCTCCTCTCGCGCTGTTCCTTGTGTCTTCCTTGGCTTTGTCCCGGACGCGCCTGGCTGGCAGTTTTACCACGTCACCTCGCGCCGGGTTCTGCCTTCTCAGGACGTCACTTTTGACGAGTCCGTCCCCTACTACCGCCTCTTTCCCTACCGCACTGCCCCGCTCCCCCCTCCGCCTCTCTTCCTCGCTCCAGGTGCTGCTGTGCTAGACCCCCTCCCCCCTCAGGGTGCCGCTCCTTCAGGTGTGTCCCAGGTAGACCCGGTTGAGCCTGTCGAGGTAGCTGTCGACTCTCGTCCTCCTAGGGGTGCTGAGCCTGAGCGTGAGGAGCCTGGCGGTGCTGAGCCTGGGGGTGCTGAGTCTGGGGGTGCGGAGCCTGGGGGTGCTGAGCCTGAGCGTGAGGAGCCTGGAGGTGCGGAGCCTGGGGGTGCTGAGCCTGGGGGTGCTGCTTCTGGGGGTGCTGAGTCTGGGGGTGCTGAGTCTAGCGGTACTGAGCCTGGGAGTGCTACACCTGGAGGAGCCCTCTCCTCACAGCAGCTGCAGGAGAGGTACCTACAGTACTGCAGCCTCAGGAGAGGTGCTGCTGGAGCTGGTACCAGTACTTCCCCTCCTACCCGGGAGCTCCCCTCCCTTCAGCAGATCCGAGAGTGGTACACGCGGCGCTGCAGTCTTCGGAGTGGCGCTCCTGGTGCTGCGGACCCTGGAGTTGGAGCTGCTGCTGGTGCTGAGGACCCGGGCGTTGGAGCTGCTGCTGGTGCTGAGGACCCGAACGTTGGAGCTGCTGCTGGTGCTGAGGACCCGGGCGTTGGAGCTGCTGCTGGTGCTGAGGACCAGGACGTTGGAGCTGCTGCTGGTGTTGAGGACCCGGGCGTTGGAGCTGCTGCTGGTGCTGAGGACCCGGGCGTTGGAGCTGCTGCTGGTGCTGAGGACCCGGACGTTGGAGCTACTACTGGTACTGAGGACCCTGACGCTGGTGTCTCTGCTGGTTCTGGAGACGCTGCGCGGCCGCGACCGTACTTCGTACCGCTCCTTCAGCAGGTTCTTAATCAGACTCCTCCTCCTTGTCCTCCTTCCTCCTTAGAGTGTCCTCCGCCTGTCCAGTCGCAGTCACAGTTACCGCCTGCCTCGCCTCTCCCTGGTCCCTCCCCTTACACTGGTCCCACAGGAGGTCTTACGGAGCGTCGTGAGCCTGAGTCTTGTCCTGCGTCGCCTGTCCGTACTGCTCGCACTGGTCGTCGTGTCCCACGTGAGCGATCTCCTCCTGTCCCTGGCACTCACTACATGACTCTGCGTCCCTCCACTGCTCCTCAGCGTGTCCCTTTGCCGTCTCCTCCTGCGTCCTCTCTACCTACTCTTCCTGACCCGAAGTCTGACTCCCGTCGTGCTGCCAGTCCCACTGTTACGCGTCTCCTCGCCACTGTTGTCACTGACCCTACATTTGAGTCCTCTGCTGCGTTTGCTCTGGTCGCTGAGTTGGTTGACTTTGCTGCCCGGTGTCGTCTAGACTACGCCGCTAGCCTTGTTGCTGAGTCTGAGTCTGTCTGTCCTCCGTCCGTCGGGGGTGAGTGTGCTCTTGGCACGGACGTCCTTGAGGACAGACAGGAGGAGTTCCAATGCTTTGCTGCTGCTTTGCCCCATCTCGTGTCCATGCTAGTTGCCCCTGAGGGAGACCCGGATGCACCAGACATCCCGACCCCGCGCTCTTACGCAGAGGCGATGGCGGGTCCCTACTCCTCTCAGTGGCAGACAGCCATGGACGCAGAGATGGCTTCCTGGAAGTCCACAGGCACCTACGTCGACAAGGTTCCCCCACCTGGGGCGAACATCGTCAGTGGCATGTGAATTTTCAGGGTGAAGCGGCCGCCGGGTTCTCCTCCTGTCTTCAAGGCGCGCTACGTTGCTCGAGGCTTCAGTCAGCGAGAGGGAGTATACTGAGGGGCTAAAAATGGAAGTCCGTCGACAGGTGATTGCCGCGAACTACAACAACTACCGCGACATGGTGTGTGCAGCAGAGAGATTCGATGCGCTGACACGAGGTCAACCCGAGACACGACGCCACGTGCCGAACAGATCATTCGACACAGAATTTTCGGCACCACCCACGACCGCCGACCCGATGGATATCATCAAGATCGACGCGAAGCAGCAGCCGACAAAATGCGAATTTTGCGGCGCAGCGGGACATCGACTCTTGGCGTGTTGGAAAATGAAGAAGGCACGAGCAGAGCTGCAGGGCAACGATAGTGTGGCACCCACGAAGTCAACAAACGTGGCGACTTCGGAGCGGGCGAAAAAAGGAGGACATGATGGCGTCACAACCGGCCGGCACCAGGGGAAATCGCCGAGACAAATGGAGGCTCCGCGAAACAAGACTCTGCACCGACCGGGAAACTCCAGCCGAACACCCACGAAAGTAAGAATTCGTTAAAGTTATCCTACAAAGATACTTTAACTAAGAATATTACTTCTCTTGATTTTCAAGCCTTCAGAGGAGATTTAGAGGCTAAGAAAAGGCCCCAAGAGATTATTCAGGTACCTGAGAAGTTGGGCAAACCACTCCGGAGCGTTGAAAAGGGTCGTGCGTTCCAAAGGGTTAATATTCTCTCCCCGCAGCACAGTGTTAAGGCTCCCCATTGCCCACAGGAGAAGCCTACACAGCTGCAACGGCTTAGGGGAAGGTTCCAGGCCAAGACGAAGCTGAATCTGCCCAGGGTTGGAGGACGTTGGAGAAAATTGAAGAGTCATCGGAAGAGACCCAGTTTACAGCAACGATGGTGGATGGTACGAAGCTTCTCATCCACGGCGAAGCACCAATACAGCTGCATATAGGTGCGTTACGATGGAAGCCGACGTTGCCGATCACGAACATCAAGAGATTAGATTTCATCTTGGGGCGAGATTTCCTGAAGCGGTCCAACCTCGAGATCGATTGGGTCAACCAGAAGGCGTGCATCTACAACAACGGGAAACGAGTGGAGCTGAGAAGCTGGACGGATACAGGGGATGTTCCTGAAACGACACTCGCATGTTTCAAACGGACAGTGAACGAGAGTAACACGGGTTACTTAAGCACCGGTCATGGCAGCAGCAGAGGAGGAGAAGCCGAGTTCGGAGCTACCTGCAGCAGTAAAAGAGGTCTTGGAGCAGTACAAGGATATCATGCCCGATGACCTACCTGCAGGCGTACCTCCAGCACGCACCCACGAGCACGAGATCGTGGAGGAACCAGGTGCGAAACCCGTCTCACGTGCACCATACCGACTGAGTCCGACCGAACTGACAGACATGAAGAAACAGATCGAGTATCTACTGGACAGACAACTGATTCGCCCATCCACCTCTCCCTACGGTGCACCAGTTCTCTTCACACCAAAACCAGATGGCAGTCTACGGATGTGCATCGACTACCGCGCACTGAACAAACAGACAGTCAAAAACAAATATCCCATACCGCGCATAGACGACCTACTGGACCAACTGCGTGGTGCAACAGTTTTCTCGAAGCTGGACCTACGGTCGGGTTACTGGCAGATCAAGATGGCGGACAACTCGATCCACAAAACGGCGTTCCGTACGAGATACGGCTCCTACGAATACTTGGTGATGCCGTTCGGACTCTGCAACGCACCAGCGACGTTCCAGGCGGAGATGAACCATATCCTACGGCCCCTGCTGGACGAATGCGTAGTAGTGTACTTGGACGACATTCTTATCTACTCCAAGTTCATGAAGGAGCACGTGGAGCATCTGCGGAAGGTGTTCGAGATCCTGCGGGAAAATAAGTTCTACGTGAAGCTGTCGAAGAGCGACTTCGCCCTGAAGAAGGTGCAGTTTCTCGGGCACATGGTGAGTGCTGAGGGCGTACACGTGGACCCGCGGAAGATCGAAGTCGTTAAACAGTGGAAAGTACCGGAGAACGTGAAGGAGTTGCAGCAGTTCCTTGGCTTCGCCAACTACTACAACAGGTTTGTGCCACAGTACGCTAAGATAGCAGCGCCACTGACCGACCTACTGAAAAAGGATACACCCTTCAAATGAAATACTCCTCATCAGCAAGCCATGGAGCAGCTACAGACAGCACCGACCACAGCGCTAGTACTCATCCTGCCGGACCCAGAGAAGGACTACGTAGTTGAAGCAGACGCTAGTGACCAGGCAGTCGGAGCAGTAGTGATGCGGGATCACGGGAACGGTTTACAGCCTATCGCCTACCTCAGTAAGAAACTACACGGAGCAGAACTGAACTACCCCATTCACAACAAGGAAGCCTTAGCCATAGTCGTAGCCTTCAAGGCGTGGAGGTGTTACCTAGAGGGAGCCAAGACCACAGTCTATACTGACCACTGCAGCCTCAAATACCTGAAGTCGCAGCCGACGCTCTCACGACGACAGGTGCGGTGGGTGGATTTCTTGGAAACCCACTTCCACTACGATACAAACCCGGCCTACACAACAAAGCTAACGCGTTGAGCCGCCCCGGTCATGTAGCAGGCATCCAGCTCGACGAGATGAACCCTCTGCTCAAGGGTCTATTCCAACATGGGTACTCCGTGGATGGCGAGATAGCAACGGCAGAGAAACAGAAGCTGTTACAGTGGGAGAAAGACTTAGCGGTAAGGAAGGGTTCAGGAAAGATTTGGGTACCGAACTATGCCCCACTACGGCAGATCCTATTGGAGGATTTTCACGACGTACCATATGCGGGACATTTCGGGAGCAACAAGACGTTAGCGAGAATAGCGAAGTATTACTACTGGGCTCGGATGGCAGCAGACTTGAGCAGTTCGTCACCTCATGCAACACGTGCCAGCGGATGAAGAGTAGCAAGCAGAAAAAATCAGGGTTACTTCAGCCTCTACCCGTACCGGAGCAGCTATTGCAGGTCGTTAGCCTCGACTTCATCACGGGATTCGACCTCACGGGGACATGATTCCATCCTCGTAGTGATCGTTAAGTTTTCCAAAATGGGTCACTTCATACCGACCAACGCCACAGCTACTGCTGAAGCAACTGCTCTTGGGAGGTGACACGATTCTAATCTTTGCGTAGGCAGTAGACACATCCCCGTGACAGATAGGATAAACGAAGTCTGCAGTAGGGAGGATAAGAACCGAGCCGGCGGGAGCCAAGTCGAACGAACCCAAACCAAGGATTTAGCGGGCGAAAGAGAACCGTTGGCATAAACGGTAACCCGTCGCTGGTACTTAAGCAATCAGGCAGTGTAGAGAAGATGCTTGCGTGATTGTTTTCACACTTGAGCTTACAACTTCAGATTTCTCCAAGCGAAGGCTAAGCACGAGAAACCAACCCGCACAAGCATTGTATCAGTTATAAAACCACTCTCTCCCAACCAGCCGAGCTAGGGTTTGAGTACCAGCTTCAGGCGGAGGCAAGAGACTTTTCAACACAAGATACTGATGAATAGCCGAGATCTCGTACGGACTAGGCTGTGGAACGACACTGGCGAGTTGAAGCCTGCGGCGGGGTGGCGTGCCGATTCTATCACCGCCAAAGGATATCAAGGCGCGTTGCGTGCGGAAACTGATTCACCTAAGTACCGAACGCCTCATCAACGAGCACGCGCGGACAGAGATAATATGGAGCAAAATCAGACTGTCGTCTCGGATCCAGGAGATACGCCAAGGGACTCTCGCTGGACCGAAGCGATACGAGAACGATGGAAGAACCAGGAAGTGTTGACCCCGCATACGGGAATGCCCAGGATGACTACGGCGAAGGGAAGGCCAGAACCGCGCGGGATCTCGAGCGGAGGCCCAGGGTCGGAGCGGCGCCAAGAAGGAGCCCTGGTGCCTAGCGGCGTTGCTGCCGAACATAACGACCCGCACGAAGCATCTGACAGCCGCGGCGAACGCTGGAAGGCGACAAACTTGCCCAAGGTGGAAGTAGCAGAACGCTACACGGGTATTTCAGGCGTGGGGCCAAGCTTGAAGAATTACCTCATGCAGCTCGAGACTGTCCAATACTGTTGGGAGCGCGATGGATACGACCCGGCCGAGTTCTTTAGGAAAATGGTGGGAACCTTGGCAGGTGAAGCGGAGACGTTCTTCCGCCTGACTCGGGACAAGGTACTGGAAGAATTGGCGGAAGGAGAGATATCCAATCCTACGGCCCGGTTCTTGCAATTGATGCGGAAGGAGTTCGCTGGACAGACTAAAGCACGCGTCGATGAATTTCGGGACTTCCGACGGAAGAAGGAGGAGTCGCTGCTGGCCTATTACTGCCAACTACGAGAGTTAGCCGAAGATTTGGAAAGCAAGGACGAACGTCTGCTCGTGAGGAAATTTGTGCGGAGGTTGGAAGACGAGCTGAAGGGAGTGGTGCGGAGCACCGTCTACGGCATAGGTGCTGATATTACCCTCAAGGAAGTTTATCTGTTGACGATGAAGACGGAGCAGGCGCAGCGACTGCTCGATCTGGAAGATTCGGACGGAAGGAGTCGGGCAAAGACTAGCTGAGCGGTAGCGGTAGTACCAGACCCCTCCCCTGGGGGCAGCGGCCGCGCTGATCCACAGCTCTGTCATACCTGCGGAGAGCACGGGCACTTGAAGCGGGACTGCCCCAAGGCGCCGACCTGCGAGCAGTGTGGGAAACGTGGACACCGGAAGGAACACTGCTACAGTCGTCCGAAGGAAAGGTTGGGAGCTACTCGAGAAGAGCTCCAAGCCGAAGTCCGTTGGCTCCAGCTACGGCTGGAGCAGTTACCTAACCCAACGGAAGCGAAAACGCAGGCGCTGCTAGCGTACGAAGAAGTCGACAAAGCCGAAGAAGAGGGTGAAGAGGACTACTCGCGAGAGTATGCAGTGATGGCATATCTTCGGGCGCGGAACGACCTCCGACTCCGGACCTGACTGAACGAGTCAGTCGTGTTTAGACCTTGGACGCGCCCATTCGGATCCTGGAGTTGTACGGGGGAATTGGGACCGGCCTGGCAGCGGCGTTGCGAGCAGGGTGTACCATCAAGCGGTGGATTCATGTCGAGCGGCACCACGCCCTACTGCTGAGGGACGAGTTTCCAAACCAGATGTGGGAAGACGCCTTCCCACTCAATGGAGAGCAGGAAGTACATGACGTGCGGGAGATTTCAGAAGGAGTGCTGGACCGGTGGGGACCTGTGGACCTGGTGATCGCTGGATGGGAATGCCAGGATACTCCAGGGCTGGGGAAGGTCTTGGGATGGAGGATGTCAGAGGAGCGTCATTTCGAGATCTCCAACGGGTGTTGGAGGTTCTGCAGCGGCGCCAAGGGGAGGTCGCATACATCTTGGAGAACGTAGACCTGGCCGAGGACCGGAGAGAGCCCGTGAAACGAGCGTTCGAAGAAATCGTGGGGGTCCTGGGAAGAGGAGTACCGGCCGCAGCTGGGATCCCGGGCACACTGACTGCGTCGGTACTAGCAGAACGTGATCTCAACGGCGGCGTTGCGGCACTCGCTGGCGCTGATGCAGCGTCTAGAGCCTCGCTTGATGAGTGACAACCTGGAGCCGAACCGCCTGCCGGCTCCTGTGACTTGCGCGGATCACCCGTCGCAGTACCAATGTAACGAGCAAGGCAAGCCCAGGCAAGCGCTGCCCACACTACTATCATACGCCGACGCACGCGGGTTTCGCATGGAAGGGGAGCTGCCGGGACCGGGAATGATCTATGACGTACGGAAGGGGGTCTAGGAACAGCCGACGGCAAACGAGAGAGAAGCCGCCATGGGACACTTGTGGGGAGCCACCTCACATCTTGAAGTGACTGAGCAGCAGCGCCGAGCAGCCTTGGGCCGAGCCATGGATGCGAATGTGATGACCTGGCTCTTGGATACGATGCGGATGCACTTGAAAGCGAAAGAGCTGCAGAGAGACATCGCGTGCAGTGAGAGGTACAGGGACCTAGAGTCCATCGAATGGTAGAAAAAGTCGTTGGCGATGATCGAAGAGAGGTACGACGAGAAGATAGACGAAGGATGGGTGGCGTACATGGCCATGGAAGTGATGGAAGGGGAGACGGAGGGAGAAGCAGATGCATTGGCGGAACTCTCGGAGAAGCGGGATCGGGGGCCAGAGGACGACTGGGTATTTGGGGAAGGAATGGACGCAGAGTCGGCGACAGCGTTGTAGGAGGTGCTGAAGTAGCACCGCGGGACTTTTGCGTACACCTTTACGGGAGCTGGGGAGGTGCACCACGCATGAGATGGAGATTGAGCTTATTAGCGAGGTCCCGGTATACCAACGGAAGTGGCGGATGAGCCTGTCAACGGGAGTTGGGTGTTGGCCCCGTCCTCGCTTGGGCGGAGCCGACTTCGTGGTCGGATGTAGGGGTGCAGCCGACCTGCAGCAGTGGGCGGGCTGGTCGACGAGGTTGGTCGACCTGCACGGGAGCCATTGCATGGGCGCCGACTTCGGGAGGGCGCCAACTTCGGGTGGTCGACCCGGGACGTCGACCAGCCCTTCTGGTCGACTTGGGAAGTCGACCAGACCTTCTGGTCGACCTGGTAAGTCGACCAGCCGTTCTGGTCGACCAGGAGTGACGTCGACTTGGAGCTGGTCGACCAGGGGATAGTGGTCGACCTGGGAGGTCGACCGGAAGTGGTCGTTGACCTGGGTGGTCGACGGGCACGCACTGGAGCCTCTGGTCGACCTGGTTGCCCGGTCGACCAGGTTACCTAGGTGACGAGGTGCTGCGAAGGCTTGCGATGGTCGCCCAGGTGGTTTTGGCGAGGACGACCTCGGTGATGGTATCCCGAGGTCGACGTGGTGCATCAGAAGCAGTCGTCAGCACGAAGTTGATGTGGTGTGTGCGCTGTGTAGGTGACGAGGCACTGCACGCCAATCGTCTGCGAGCACCTGCGAAGTAGGTGCGCTGCTGTCCTGCGGGAGCAACGTTGGCGCGCCGTCAACCTGCGACGTTGGCACGCCGTCGACCTGCAGTGTTGGCAAGCCGCGACTCTGCGCTGCTGGAGCGCGGTCGACCAAGTTGTGCTGGCGCGCGGTCGACTGTGCTGCGCTGGCAGTCGACCTGCTTGCATGCTAGCTC